AATTATTTACATAGCATCTTGTACTAAGAAATATCCTAGGTTTTCAGAAAGGAAGGGAGGGGAAAGGGTAATCTATAAGCTGTGTGGTCATCTGAGCCTAAGCAGGAGCTGGAGGAAGAGATATAAGATAGGAAACTTGGCCCCAGCTGCTTTGGGTCCAGCAGGAGCTGAGACCAAACTTCCAGCTTTAAGGAGGTGATCGTATTGGGGTTGTGATGGTCTATAAGTTTGTTTTAAAAGTTGTATTTCAATCTTTCCACGTGTTTATATTTATAGTTCTCTTTCATCCATCCATCCATCTTTGCTTTTGTGATTAGCTGGGGAGAGTGTAGAAGTTTGGGGACATGTCAAGGGTTCATCAAGCCTCGAGTTTGCAACTACAGTCACCTGGAGTCAACAATGGGTGAGGACAGGTGTACAACCAAGTAGGGGGAAGGGCATGAAGTCCGTGACAGCAGAACTGTCCTATGTCTGGATACCAGGAGGTATCCAGGTAAAGTCTGAGTGCTCCCATGCCATTGTGGGGCTCCTCGGGAGGCTGGGGCACAGCTGTTAGCTGACTCTGTCCCTAGTCCCTTAAAGGATTCAATGTTTCCCCACAAAAAAACATTTTTTAAAAAATGCAAGAAAGAAAATCCCCACTGTGCTGTGAGGAAATGCTCGAAGGTGACCCCTATGCTACACCGCAGAATGCTGACAGAGACTGGCTATCTTCACCAGTTTCTGCACCTGCAGGAGCCTAAAAATACTTTGATGATGACCCAGTCATTTTTCTTAACAGATTTTGTTTTTTAAGAACAGTTTTATGCTCACAGCAAAACTAAGTGGAAAGTACAGAGATTTTTCACAAAACCACCTTCCCCATTCCACACATACATATGAAAGCACACAAGCACGTGCGCGCGCGCGCACACACACACACACACACACACACACACACCTTACTCATTGAGAGAAAGAGCAAGGGTGACAGAGAAGAGCAGAGCAAGTTGGGACAGGAAGGGGAGGAAAGAGGAGAGGAGAGAGGGGCCTTCTTCACCGATTCTTGTTTTTTGGGGGGGTTGAAATTTTTAAATTTTTTTTATGTGTAAGTGTTGTATGTGTGTGCACCTGCACCTGCCCAAGGAGGCCAAACTGGAGCTGGGAATCACCTACGTGGGGGCTGAGACCGGAATCAGTGTATCTTGGGAGAACAGAAAGTGCCCTGTACTCTGCTGAGTCATCTGTCCAGCCTTGGGCTATTACATTTTTGACACAGCTTCTTCCTATATATTTCTCTAGCCTCTAGCTTGTGATTCTCCTGCCACAGAGTCTTCAGTGCTGGAATAACAGGTGTGTATGAGCATGCCCAGCACAGCTGACTTTGTAGTAGTCAGTTTTATATCCTATATGGCATATACGTCATGATGATGCTGGGCAATGG